AACAGAAAACATTGCTTTAAAACACATCAGATTATACTTGCCATAGCTAACAGTGTAATCCGGATAAATGACAATTTCATCACCAGCAAATTAGCAAAGCCTAATGTATTAAAATTTAATATTGCTCACCTTGATATGATAGGGCATCACGTCGCAAAATATCCTGCAATAAAGAAGCATTAACCATATGTATTCTAAGAGTTTAAAAGGAAAATACTTTCCGTGGTCGTTGCTGCCTTTCCCATTCACTGGAAAAAGATTTCAAATTTGCTGAAAAGATTAAGTTGAAAATAGATAGATAACTTGCTATAAAGTTCAGATTGTCAGGAGAACAGTCAAAAAGAATATTAATGTATGATAACTTCAGGAGAATGGAATTGAGCAGTGAGTTGAGAGAAATCTCAATGTATCCATCCTAGTAAAATAGTTTATAAATAAATTATATTTTTATTTAATCTATTCTGTATAACATTATAAATGTTTCCTATAGTCAAGTAACTTCCATGGATTTAGCATTTTACAACCAGATTGGGTGAGTGTAACATATGGTAATTATTAATCTTCCATTGGTTAATTAAATGACAACAACTTTTACCAAAATTTGACCACCAGGTGTAGCTCTTATCTAATGAATTATATTCATTTATGCCCATTTACTGGAATTGTTCATTAACATGTTGACACACGTGTACACAGGTCAATTTGGCAAATAGACTGATTGTGGCATTTTGGTGTATATTTCATAGTAAATGTATGATGTCTCAGTTTCTAAGTTTATTAACCCTATACATGCCATTTTAATAATTCAGCAGATTTTAAATCACGTCCTCACAATTTATTGAAAAGATTTAAAAATATATTCTCAATTAGGTACCAACACTTGTGCGACCTCTAGTTATGTGGTAGTGATCATAAAGCATAGGTGCAATAATTTTTTTATATTTATATTTCCTATATTATATTTATATATATATATATATATATATATATATCTTCCTCAAAAATGAATCAGATCTCGTCTTTAACGTAAAAGAACACTATGTGTTAAACGTGTGTGGGAACTATGGATGAATATAAACTATCTACAGATAACTATGTTATCTGATTAAATGAAGATTATTATGATAATAAAATTATTAACTTTTGCAACATATGATCTAAATGGTTGAATGCTGTGAAGAATTTACCTTTAAATATTTTTTTTAATACATATATATATATATATATATTTTTTTTTTTGTTTGTTTGTTTCCTGTTTATGCAGCTTGTTTTGGCAGAAAGCTCACACTCAGATGGAGGATCTCAGAGCACAGAAAGCCGCACAGAACTTCCTGTACCCATCGAGAGAACAGGGGGCATCGGAGACTCACGGCCACCATCCTTCCAGTAAGAATCCTTGTGTGGCTGAATTGTGCAATTAAGATATTGTGATGCCTAATTAAAATGCTCATTTTATAACTATTTATCACTTAAACACAACTGATTCTTTTTAATGAAAATTACCCTGTAGGTATTGAATGCATCATTTATCATAGAGAATGATACATTCAGTATATAATATTTCAATAAGAACATTACTTTCCTTTAGTGCCCTGCCATCATGTCCTCAACTCAGCGGGTGTTACAATACTGCGACAGCTACCTCCTGTCCTACCCATGCTCAGCTTTCATTACTTTGCTGATATCTGAATGGAATAACATCAGTAATGCCGTTTCTGTACTCCCTAGCCAGCGATAAAAGTGTCCGATAAACTATGATAGCTATGATTAGAGAGCAGGACGTCTCTCCTGCCAGTCATTTATTTTCGGCATAGAGGTCTATGTTGAAGAATTGAGTGACAGGAAGTAGGAAGGCCTGTTTTTACATTGATTTTTCTTTCTCACAATCTATATATAAGCTAGCAATTCTGGTAGCACAATGTATACATGGAATTTAACCCCTTAGTGACCAGACCGCTTTTCAATTTTCTTACCAGGGCTGTTTGGGACCAGGGCTGTTTTTACATTCCTGCGTTGTTTGTGTTTAGCTGTAATTTTGCTCTTACTCATTTACTGTACCCACACATATTATATACCGTTTTTCTTTCTAATAATACCATTATTTTCATCATATCATATAATTTACTATAAAAAAAATAAATAAAATATGATGAAAAAAAACAAGAAAAAAAATAGTTTCTAAATTTTGCCCTGAGTGTAGAAATACCGAATGTTAACATATTCTTAGCTTTTTTTGGAAAGTTGTAGGGCTATAAGTACAAGTAGCACTTTGCTATTTCCAAACCATTTTTTTTTTATATCTGTCAGGAATCCCTGAATAACCCTCCACATGTATATATTTTTTTAAAAGAAGACAACCTATGGTATTAAACTTGGGGTATTTCGACTCTTTTTATGCAACCATTTTACCACCAATCTATGCCAAATTTAAATTTATTTTTTAAAAATTGGTGATTTTTTTTTGCACACATAGCAATTTAAGAATACATGTACTGAGAACTACATGTACTGAGAACTTTAAGGGTTACTTCCAAAGAACACCCCAATATGTGTTCAGCAACATCTCCTGAGTACAGTGATACCACCCATGTATAGGTGTGTTGGGTTCTCTGGGGGTGAAACGACCTTATTTGGAGGTTGCGCACTCCAGTATTCCAACTTGGAATGCCCCCCATGTAATTTACCCCCATAAAACTATATCTTTTTTTAAAGTAGACAACCCAGGGTATTCAATATGGGGTATGTGCAGTCTTTTTTAGTAGCCACTTAGTCACAAACACTGGCCAAAGTTAGCATTTATATTTGTTTCTGTGTTAAAAATGCAAAAAAAATAAAAAATATATGGTTTTACGGAGGTAAATTACATGGGGGGTATTCCAAGTTGGAATACTGGAGTTTTGCAAATGGTATGCCATCATGGGGATAATTCTCATTCCTGGGCTACCATACGCTCTCAAAGGCAACATAACTAATCTGGCAAATTTCAATGTGAAAAAAACAGTCCTTGTATTTGACCCTGTAACATTCAAAAACACTATAAAACCTGTACATGAGGGGTACTGTTATACTCGGGAGACTTCGCAGAACACAAATATTAGGGTTTTAAAACCGTAAAACGTATCACAACAATTATATAACCAGTGAAAATGGTGTTTGTGTGTGAAAAATGCAAACAACGTCACTTTCACTGACAATATCATCGCTGTGATATGTTTTACTGTTTTGAAACACTAATATTTGTTTTCAGCGAAGTCTACCGAGTAAAACAGTACCCCCCCATGAACAGGTTTAAGGGTGTCTTGGAAAGTTACAGGGTTAAATATAGTGCTAGCAAATTAAATTCTCTGAACTTTTAGCCTGGGTTGTCAGGCAGGTCCCCCAAATTGCAATCACTAAAATGACTTAATTATGTAAAAATATTACATATATATGCACGTAGAATTCAAATTTATATACATATTTATATTTTTGAAGGCTACGTGTATATTTATGAAATCATTTATGTATATGGATATATGTATATTTCGTATTATTTTTATATATACATAGATATATCTAATTACATAGATATATATAATTTCAAGTGTATTTTGATAGAAATATATATATGTATATTAATATCAAATACAGTAAGACTAAAATTATATATATATATATATATATATATATATATAATTAAAACATTTAAAAAAAAATATTTATTTTTAATTAATTATTATTTATTATAATTATACATATATTATGGAAAATTGTTTCATACTTACCATAATTTTCTTTTTCTGATCATTATTCATGGCAGCATTTACACATGGATTAGCTCCTCCCCTTACAGCAGAAAGGACAGGAAATAGAACTCTGAAACTGGTATAAATAGACCCTGCCCCTTCCCATCAGGCAGTCTTTGTAACTAGCTTCACAACTCCTATAGTATATGGGTGGGAACATAATGCTGCCATGAATAATTATCAGGAAAAGACAATTATGGTAACTATGAAACAATTTTCCACTTTCCTGACCATTATTCATGACAGCATTTACTCATTGGGAGTACCCAAGCAGTATATATCGAGGGAGGGACAGAGTTCAAAAACAGCTAATAGCTATAAAACCATTATTGAGCTGTATAAATCTTAGAAGACTTTACAAAGCCAAACAAGAATCAATAGGATATTGACATAAAATCTGCTCAGACAAGATCATTTTTCCTAGAGGCTGCAAGGTCAGCAACCTCCTGGCATTCAATATCTGAAATATCCTGAATAAATATAGAGAGCCAGATAGGAATTAAGGCCATGATAGCATAAGCTAGAGAAGAAAAATGTCATTCTGATATAAAATTTAAAACAAAATTGATATCATCAAATCAGAACCTTGACAAAGGCATAACTTCCAGAGATCATACTGGAACAAGCGGATAATGTTGGATGAGAACGGACACACCATGCTATTAAACACAGGGAGAATTACACTGAGAATCCTACTACTTACTGGATGTATTTATTAAATACGATTCACACCGCTTCCTCTTGCCTAGTGAACTACTTACCTGAAGATACAGGAACAAATCAATATCTATCTGCCTGTCAGAAAGAGGCAGAGCCTAGTAGAGAAATAAGATTCTGTTATTAAAACACTGCAACAATGATCCGATGTTGCTAAATTCAGATTCACAACAATACCTCACCCAGTGGATGAATTGATACAGCAATGATCAGTCACAGGAGAGGAATAAACTAATAACATTACTAGGCAAAGGCAAGAAGAATCATATACAGATTAGTTGAGGAAAAAAAGAAATATCGGTATGAACCATAGAATTTGTGGCAACTACTAAATTATAAGGAGGCCAACCACGTCAGTACCTACATTTAAAGATAAACATATTGTAAATAGTACAGATTATGCCAAACAGTATAATCAAATTTATTAGAGACTGATGTGCAACATAAGTAAGATATATATATATATATAATAGGCAAGATACTGATGGGAAGGTGGTAACCAGAGGCACATTATACATTGTGGCAACAGACACATAATAAGCAGGATAGTAGAAGATATTCAGTTATCCTTATGAGAACAACAAACGCATACTTACTCTTACCTTATCTTCAGATAGTGAAGAAGTACTTATGGCAGAGCCTATGGTGATAATAAGCAGCTTGTTATATCTGCAAGATATCGACACCAATCCAAGCATATAATCAATGCAATGTTAGGAGTGACCATAACTTATACAGATCTAGGTACTGAGACCATATAAAACATATCCATTAAATGTTTGTCAACAAGCTGCATTACATTATATTATATTATGCAGCATGAATCAACCATTTAAAGCCACACATTGGTTGCAAATTCCAGATATAAGGACACCTAGAAGAATCCCCATGAATATCAGAAGAGATGTCCGTAATGGAACTACCTGTTTAGGGATTTCCTCTATTCAGGCAGCAGGTGAATTTTACCTGAAATATATATACTGAGGCTGTGTTTTCACAGCGACTCAGAGCATATAAAGAATACACACTGAGGCAGCGTCTCCAGATCAACTCATACACAGACAATATAGTGGATATATATACTGAGGCAGAGTCCTCATTGTAACTCATACATACAGCATATAGTGGGTACATGTACTGAGGCTGTGTCCTCATAGTAACTCATACATAGAGCATATAGTGGGTACATATACTGAGGCTGTGTCTTCACAGTAACTCATACATAGAGCATATAGTGGATACATATACTAAGGCCGTGTCCTCATAGTAACTCATACATAGAGCATATAGTGGGTACATATACTAAGGCTGTGTCCTCATAGTAACTCATACATATAGCATATAGTGGGTACATATACTAAGGCTGTGTCCTCATAGTAACTCATACATAGAGCATATAGTGGGTACATGTACTGAGGCTGTGTCCTCATAGTAACTCATACATAGAGCATATAGTGGGTACATATACTAAGGCTGTGTCCTCATAGTAACTCATACATAGAGCATATAGTGGGTACATATACTAAGGCTGTGTCCTCATAGTAACTCATACATAGAGCATATAGTGGGTACATGTACTGAGGCTGTGTCCTCATAGTAACTCATACATAGAGCATATAGTGGGTACATATACTAAGGCTGTGTCCTCATAGTAACTCATACAAAGAGCATATAGTGGGTACATATACTAAGGCTGTGTCCTCATAGTAACTCATACATAGAGCATATAGTGGATACATATACTAAGGCTGTGTCCTCATAATAACTCCTATAGAGAGCATATAGAGGATACTTATACTGAGGCGATGTCCTCACAGTAACTCTTACATAGAGCATATAGTGGATATAGATATAGATATATATATATATAGATATATATATATCTATACTGAGGCCGTGTCCTCATAGTAACTTATACCAAGAGCATATAGTGGGTAAATCTACTGAGGCCGTGTCCTCATAGTAACTCATACATAGAGCATATAGTGGATATATATATACTGAGGCTGTGTCCTCATAGTAACTCATACATAGAGCATATAGTGGATATATATATACTGAGGCTGTGTCCTCATAGTAACTCATACATAGAGCATATAGTGGATATATATATACTGAGGCCGTGTCCTCATAGTAACTCATACATAGAGCATATAGTGGATCTATATATACTGAGGCTGTGTCCTCATAGTAACTCATACATAGAGAATATACTGGACACACACTGAAACTCCATACCAATTTATACATTAGAGCATATAGTGGAAACATACCGATGCTGTACCACCACCAGTTTATGTACAGAAACTGAGGCCCAGTGGTCTCCTGTGCAGTATATTCTTCCATTGTCTGTAAAAGCCTGCTTATTTGTGATAATGTACAGATAACAGCAATCAATGCCACATACCTTGATAGAAACAAGTGTGTGTGTGGACTTAGAGTTAGGTTTTTAAAACATGTCATAAATATGTGTGTACTTCAATCAGACACCCAAGAAAGTTCTCTTAACTTGGATATTTCTCTGTATTCAGGCTGTGGAATTCCAGCAGACTTCATAAAGCCAGGATATCCATTATTAGCACTCTTTTCACAATGCCTCCTTGCTTTATCAGCACTCTTTTTGCATTATCAGCACTACTTTTCCCAATGCATACTTGTATTATCAGCACTCTTTTGCACCAAACATCCTGGTTACCTAAATGCTCACCACACAAATCTCCTAAATGTGACCTATTTGTTAGAAGGAAGCCTAATGTAAGCAGCTGGGAGGGACTGAAAGAACAGAGACCCAGGTGCCTATACTAGTTTTAATCTAAATTACTAATGCACTTACCTGAACCGTTGCAGGCCTGTGTTTCAGCGGCAAAATGGGGATTTGAACAACTGACAGCCTAAACTGCTTAAACTATAGGCTTCCATCTGTACCCCATATGCCATTCATCAACACCATACAAGGTGGAATACATAGAATAGGTATACCCCAGTAGTCACAACTCTGTTGGGCCTCATGTATGCAGTGTACCGATGTCATCCCCTCAGGGAGAGACATAGGTTAGACTCGTGATTGCTGAAGGAGGTACCCAGGCTGGCAACTCTTACACATGTGCTGTTTGCTGGGTCTTCAGGGACAAGGGCTTAGACTCAACTGGGCCTCATGTATGCAGTGGACTACTTTCATCACTTCCGAGAGAGATAGGACAGACCCCTGGTTGCTGAAGTAGGAACCCAGGCTGGCAACTCTTACCGATATGCTTATCACATTCATTCCCTGAGGGGGTAACCAAGCTGGCCTGTTGCTGGGTCTTCAGGGGTAAGAGGCTGAACCCTGGCCTGACTTCATGTAGGCAGTATATCACATTCATTCCCTGAGGGGGTAACCAAGCTGGCCTGTTGCTGGGTCTTCAGGGATAAGAGGCTGAACCCTGGCCTGACTTCATGTAGGCAGTATATCACATTCATTCCCTGAGGGGGTAACCAAGCTGGCCTGTTGCTGGGTCTTCAGGGGTAAGAGGCTGAACCCTGGCCTGACTTCATGTAGGCAGTATATCACATTCATTCCCTGAGGGAGTAACCAAGCTGGCCTGTTGCTGGGTCTTCAGGGATAAAGGCTTAGACTCGGCTGGGCCTCATGTATGCAGTGGACCGCTGTCATCACTTCAGAGAGAGAGAGATAGGTCAGACTCCTGATTGCTGAAGGCGGTACCCAGGCTGGCAACTTTTACAGATGTGCTGTTTGCTGGGTCTTCAGGGGTAAGAGGCTGAACCCTGGCCTGGCTTCATGTAGGCAGTATATCACATGCATCCCCTGAGGGGGTACCCAAGCTGGCCTGTTGCTGAGTCTTCAGGGATAAGAGGCTGAACCCTGGCATGCAGTGGACCATTTTCATCCCTTTCAGGGAGAGGTTGGGTCCGACCCCCGGTCACCCAGGCTAGCCACCTCATCTTAGTGCGTTTTGCTGGGTCTTCAGGGCTTAGAGGCTGAACCCCAGCAGGGCCTAAAAAAATATTGCCTGGTGAGCATAAAAGAAAAAATCTAGGCCTGCTTAAGCAGACTCCTTCCAAACCGCTGTGCAGGACAGGAAAAAAGACTGCCTGATGGGAAGGGGGAGGATCTATTTATACCAGTTTCAGAGTTCTATTTCCTGTGCTTTCTACTGTAAGGGGAGGAGCTAACCCATGAGTAAATGCTGCCATGAATAATTATCAGGAAACATATAAATATATACACGTGTGTAATTTCTTAAAATTTATATTTGTATATATTAATAAAAAACACACTAAGTATGACGTTATATATAAGATATATATATATATAGATATAAGATATATATATATATATATATATATATATATATCTCATATATACATATATTTTTAATTTATTAACTTTATGAATTTTTTTGTTTTTACTTTTTTCACCAGCAAGGGGACTGCCTGTCAGTTCAGGCAATCCCCCTGCTGGCAGCACTGTGGACACCTGTTGCGGCCATGTGACCACTCTTTCAGAGCGGTCACATGGCCCTGGGAGTCCTAATTTGCAGAGGGGGGACTGCCTGGGCTGTCAGACAGTCCACCAAGTGGAGCAGTAGACCGATCGCTGGCGGGGGAACGGCGGCGATTGGGTAAGTACATGGGAGAGGGAGGGAGTGAAGGGGTTAATTTTTATTTTATTTTTTATTTACTTATTTCTGCACTCAGCACGGCCAGAGCATCGGAAGCCTGCTTGATGGCTTTCGATGCTCTGTACTACACTGCCGGGAGCCACGTGGAGCAACCTGGAAGTGATCGCTCCAGGGTGTTCTCAGGTGGCCTGGCATTGAGAGGGGGTATTGCACAATGCATCGCCATCAGGTATGTCCGCGTTCCTTAAGGTCCGTTTTTGTCGGACGTACCTGATATGTCAGAGGTCGCGATGGGGTTAATGTTCTATTAAACTCACTCTAGTTGTATGTACCTTGACAGATACACTTTAAGTTAAAGGCACACTATAGTCATCAGAACAACTTCAGCTTAATGTAGCAATTATGGTGTCTATAGCCTGTCCCTGCAGGGTTTTCAATGTAAATGTTGCCTTTTCAAAGAAAAGGCAGGTGTTTACATTACTGCATTGTAATACCTCCAGTGGCCATCACTCAGACTGCCACTAGAGGTGCTTCCTGGGTAAGTGCTGCACAATATGCAGCACTGACATTCAGCATCTTCATGCTCTGCGTGAGGGCACTTAACGTTCCCCGTAGTAATGAATTGATTCAGTGCATCTCTATGAGGAGATGCTGATTGGCACAGCGCAGTGTTTTGCCGTGCATGTGCAATAGTCTCCCAATGCTTTCCTTTGGGAAAGCACTGGATTGGCTGAGATCATCAAGTTCATCTGGAAAAAGGTGTGTAAAATACCTTTTTGAAAGGGGACAAGTGGGGTTGATCACCTGAATGGCTACTAAGACCTACAGTGTCAAGAATACATGTTTCTATTTCTGACAGTTCCTTTAAGTTACACAGGATTATATGAAAAGTTGTCTATATATTTTCACCTCTTAATGACTGAAGATTTTTATAAATCCTGCAAAAACATGCAAAACAAAGAGGAGCGCTGTGAATAATATTTCTGTATATACACCTGTAAATCAATGACTGTATAATTGTGGCTCATATGTCCACGCAAAAGAAAAATAAATAAAACAGTATGAAGTGTAGTACGGTTTTATGAAATATGGTGCTATCGATATAGTAGATTTGCATCCACATGCATCAGGGTGACATAAAACATAAAACTGTTTAAAGCAATACCCAGCTCTCTTCAGTATTGGGCAGCACAGGATACACTTCTTCTCTAATTTGACTGCATACACACGTGTAACCGATATGTATGTACAGTCTAATAAGGCTACAAATATACACCAAGAAGAAATAACTAAAATAACACTATTTTCTTCAGACAATGGGTGTATTCCTCTTTTTGTCCAGCGTGTACTTTCCGTGTGTGGCTTCTCATTGGGTGCCCTTGTGTCCAAATCATGACTAGTGAATCATACACTTCTCAGTGAGCTGTATTGCAACTTTATTGCTAACATCTCTGAGAACACAAAAGCCACTAGAGCCACTTATATCAAAGAAGGACTTCACTTTTGGTATCGGCTCACACAGCATGTTAAATCACCTCGATTGGCAGATTACAGCGATTGCCGCAACATGTTATGTGTCTTTGATGTTTCTCCGTAAGAGGTATCTAATTAAAATAAAAGTAATCATAATTGAAGACTTTGCTGACGGAAGACCAGCTGTGGGAGGAGATTGTCCCGGTTCTAGAATAAGGGTAAGTTCTATGGATTTTTAAAATATTTTAAGAAAATAAGGGTCCTTATTGTCTAAGTATAGATAGAGCATATCTTGTTTAAAAAAAATAAAATGGTATTCTAATAGAACAAACCGAATTAGAAAATATTCGACTGTTCCTGGCATGTTGATTCTCATTGGGTACGTATAGGCTTTGTTATTATTGACAATTAATCTGACTGCTGGAATTCCAATGAACAGATGTATAACACTCTAATTGATATCACTAATCACTAATGTGAAAAGTTCAAGTTAGAACTATGTTTGTGTACCACTAGGTTGTGCTGTTGCAAGTGTAATCTTTTTGCAAATGCAAATCCCCCCAAAATGGAGCAAGTTAGGATTTCCAAAATCTCAGTACGTGTATGGATACGTGGATGGCAGTTCAGAGAAGCTTAGTTTCAATGGCATCACTTGATATTTGTAATTATCTATTAACGTTTGAAAATATAAAATGCATAAGACTGAGATCAATGTAATTCTTAAAGCGGCAATGTCACTGTCTAGGGACTTTGCAGAATTTCTAAAGACCCCTGATGGTGACATCGCCGATGGGGGTCTGCTGTCAGGGGAAAGCAGAGGGTCCACTTCAGCGCCAGTAGCCAGGGTCACTGCTGTGCTCTTATGTACAGCAATGAGGTTTATTGAGGATCCCTTAAGACTGCCGAATCCTCCATAGATAAAGCCATCACTGGCTATGGTTTGGGGGATTGACAGTGTCTAGAAGTGTCAGACTTAGGAGAATACTGATACAAAGTAGTCCTTACTTTGTCTCAGTATATCTCTTGACTGCGTTGGAATTTCAGTGAAATTCCAACACAGTTAATATGAGTATTTAATAAAGATTATATGTCTATGAAATACTAATTGCTCAGGGGTGGGGTGACAGTGTTGCTTTAAAACAAGCACTCTTGGAACCACATTGTTTTCATTAATGCAAGTGTACAATAAACTGCACTGTGTGTAAATGGGTTATTGAAACACTATTTGGTGTCATGCCTAGGGGTCCCATGAAACTTTAAATGGACACAACAATCACCAGACCTACATCAAATGTAGTGGTTATGGTGCTATGGCATTGGATGCAATGCCAAACTGGGGAACATTTGGTACTGTCAAAAACTGTACATCTGAACTAAAGTTGGAGATGTCATAATAAATATTTTTCACATGACGGTCTCACTATCTGTCCAAATATACATGTATAGTGTGAGTACATTTCCATAACACTTTCTCGGTGGTGAATTGCTTTTAACCCTTTAGGCATTGCAGACTTGACACAGAGTCAGTGTCACTGAGCAGATTTGTTACAGCTTTTAACACATTGTTCACAGAATGTCTTAGCACAAATATTTGGATGAATTATTAGGAAGCTAAGGGGTTACTCCAGCTTCCATGATCACTTCTGCTTTTGGAAGTGGTCGTGGGGCAAGCAGTCTGTACAGAGAAATTGTGTCGGGGTCCAGCTGCACACCCAGCACTTGTGATTTAGGCAGCTCAGAACTTTGTTCCAGACAGCCTAATGGTAGTTCTGTGCAAAATGTAAGTCTGCTATCAGCAGGCACTGTGCGCTGGCACTGTAGAAATTAGTTTCTTTACTGGCAGACAGTACTGTGAACACACCATTAAATAGAAGCCACTTGGACTGTGTGCACGGATTGTGCATGAGCAGTCTAATCATGTGCCATAATAATAAATCTCCCTCCCTAATGACAGCCCTCTCTCACACCACTCTTCCCTAGTTCCGCCTTCCTCCCTAATTTCACATTCCTTTTATTTTTTTTTATCATTCTTTGTGTCCTTTTCATTTGTATTTTTTAAACCGCAACAAGGATAAAAATTAAGCAGCATGTCAAATACAAAGCTATATTGGAGAACTTGGCCCGGTGCTGGTTTCTAGAGCCATAGTAATTTTAATGGTAATTCAATAAAAAAAAAACAGGGGAGACCTATAGATAGCTGTAGATTAGCACTATTACAATGACAATAAATGGAATTTACAAAATAACTGAAATAATGCTTTAAACTTCTTCATTATTTAATCCCTGGCAGGGGGCGTTGCATTTAGGATGTAGGGGAACTTTCCAGATTTTAAAAATGGTTTGATAAAAAAATGGACTATACCTATAACTCCTAGAACTATAACTACTTTATTAAGCTGCAGTGGTTATGATGCTTTAAGTACCCTTTTAATTTTGTACTGCTGGTCACCCAAAAAATTTGAGATATGGAAGATACTAACTGTTCCTATGTATTACAGCCCCAATGCAGCCAGCAGTCGAGATGGACTGGACAACGAGACAGTCACAGACTCTGTAGTGAGTCACAGGAGGGACCGACACAGACGGAAGAACAGAGAGACTCATGATGATGGTAAAGTAACCTGATGTCATGAAATGCTTACTCAACTAAACAATGAAAGATGGAATTGCATGTTAAATATCTAAGTATTCTTATCCAAACCATATGTAAAGAGAAAGTGCCGTAAAGCGTTATCACAGCTTGATGTAAATTTCTAAATGTATTTTCTAATTTTCCTGATTTCAGCAAAGGTCTGTCAAGTACTTCTAATTATGCATTAAACTACAGGTTGTTTTAGAGACAGCATGAGTTGTATCATTTAGCCTTTTCATTGTGGGAGGTCGCTGCTTACCTCTGTCATTGATGTCAGGGTTCACTGACTTTGCTAGGAATGCGCTTTATTTGTTGAATTCCTGGGTGTATACATGTAAATCCCTGCATGTTAAAGTGTTTGTATATTATTGCTTAGTCCCAGGCATGTTATGACCAGGATTAGTGCTAAAATATACTGTAATGTAAAAAAAATGAGTGTGCAGCCAAAGACCATTGGGAGAGCTTCAAGGCCAACCAGCTGTTAACAGCTGCATACACCTCCTGGTACCAGGAGGATCTACAGCCTAACAGCTACCATCCCTCTGACCCAGTCCCTGCTGTCTATGCAGCATCTAGCACAGATCTTCCGTGTGCTACTAGGTTCCTGATTATATCATGTGCAGACGTTGGCAGGCACCTGTGTAGGAACCAATGAAATTCTAGGGGGGAACAACGTTTCAGAAAAATCCCAAGCCCACTTAGGGTGCATACACAACCATTCAATTTTCTACAAATAGAATTATAGTGTTTATTAGTAGAATGCAATAACCTACTCCTTTAACATATTAAAGAATATAGAATCTTTATGTAATACTCGTTTTGACTGAGATATACAGAGACAAATTAGGAACCTTAAGACACTGGGCGGTAGCTCTAAAAGTGACCAGAGACAGCTGCAGGGAATTGGCTTTATCTATGTTTAATGTATTTAGCACGGTGTTTGTGTAGCTGTGTGTTTGAATGTAAGCATGTTTTTGTATGGAGTATGTGAATGAATGTACGTGTGTGTTTGTATGTAGTGTTGGCATTTGAATGCAGGCGTGCATTTGTGTGTAGTGTGTTTTGTTAATAAAGTGGTGTGTTTATATATAATGGTGGTGTTTTAATACTTAGGTGTATTTGTGTGCAGTGTTGGCAAGATGCTGAGATGTATGCAAACACACACACATATACACACAGTGATACACTTGCAGATATATAGACATACAGATGCACACTAACAGACAGATACACAGACACACACATTGACACATGTGCAGGTATACAGACACACAGCTACACACATACACACAGATACATACTCACACATACATATACACAGACAGATAGGTACACACATGCAGATACATAGACACACAGTTACACACAGATACAGACACACTGACACACATGCAGCTACACAGACACAAACATTGACACAAATACACAGATGCAAACACACATACAGATACAAACAGACACACAGGCACACATGCAGTATCTGTTGTGTGGCATAAGTACTGGGGGAAGGGGCTTAGCAGATTTTTAATTAGTTGGGCTTATTCCCCCCTTCCCTCCACAGGGAAGAGGTAGGAAGCGGCAAATAAACCCAACTAATTAAAAAAAAACTGCACCCCCTTCCCACAGTACTTATCCCATACATCAAACACAGTACATCCACGACACAAACAGACACGGCATCCAAAACACACACACTGCATCCACACACACTACATGCACTACACTCACACTGCATCCACACACACATCAGACTATTTCCCCCCTCTCTGCCTCCTACCTTTGGCCAGGAAGGGGAGACACATTTTCCTGGTGGTCCGGTGGCTATAGCAGGCTGTATAGCAAAGAGGGACCCAGGAGTCATCCTGCATCCTCCAGCAGTAGCATGCCCTTTCCTCTCGCGACCCGAGATAGCCATGGCAACGCTCCAGCATGCATTGCGTGCCGCGCGGAGCATTGCCATAGCAACCCGCAGCAGCGTTCTCACGGTTCGCAACAGGAAAATACATGCTGCTGCTGGAGGGTGCAAGATGACTCTTGGGTCCCTTTTCATCATGCAAGAAGACACAGGGGCAGTAAAATGCTGTGTCTTCTAGCATGATGAAGAGGGGCCCAGAAGTCAAAATGCTGCCTCTATCATCGTGCGCCCCGGGCACCCCCCTAGTCAGTGGCACCCGGGGCAGACCGCAGCTCCCGCCCCCCTTAGTAGGCCACTGCCTCTAACTCATAGGTGTAAACTGAGTGCACAGAAATGTTATATTAAATGTTTAATTTTCAAATAATTATCACAGTATGAAAGCAAATTATTAGTGTGACGAGGTGCCCCTCATCACTTGGTCCTGGAGAGGCCTGCTTGCCAGCCTCCTGCCCTGTGACTATGGCCCCTGGGATGTATTGCCCTTTAAGGAACTGAGTTGGGGCTTATGGACGTATATTGTACTGTTTCTGACCCTTTAAGAACTGTATTTGGGCATAATGAAGTTTTATTGTGCTGCTGGCCCTTTAACTCCCAGAGAAAGGATTTGTACTTTAAATTGGCACTTTGGATACAGCCGAAGTAGTTAAAGTGGCCGCCATTCGACAAACTAACACATTTTAACTCATTCGAACGCGGTCAGCAGTGTGTGCAGCCAAATCTATGGAACTGTTTTCGGCTACCCAATTGCAAGTACACCGCTGACCCGTACTTTCTTCTCCACTTCAACACTGCGGGTTGAGACTAAGTCCCGTTCGAAGATTCGAACGCTCGTTCGAATGGGACTAAGTAATTTTTTCAGTGAAAAATAGACCGAACGCACAGCCCAAATCCATGGAACTGTTTTGGGCATGAAAATGTGCTTGCGGTCGGTCATAAAAGACTTCCAGCTAACTTTTGAACTACTGGACGGATTTTTATGATTTTTGAGTATGTTTATATTTAAAGGGCGCTGATTTCAAATATGTAACTAATATGTAAGTAATATTTACTAATATTGCATGTATACTTTTAAAGTTATAAGAATTGTGTAAAAACTGTATATTTTCTGCCTGTGATAATTAAGTTAGTCTATTGTGTTGAGATAATTGTATCACAGGCAGAGGGGAGGATTTCTGCTGGGATGAATGGGGGTATGTGTTGTAATGTTTTTATTGGTTGTTCTGCAAAACCCTGTGGGCGGTCCTGTATGTGTAAGACCTCCATAAAAGAAGGCCCTTTGGTGCTAATTAAACACAGTTCTTCTTGACCCTCAACATGTAGTCTTGTCTCGTGATTGGAGGGGACAGTTATACTCACACTGGGGATTGCTATGCTCTACATACTCCCCTGAGCTTTAAAAACTAAGCTCTTTTAAGAGCTTGTTCCTGATACGCTCTCCTGGAGGAGAGGTCTTCCCCACACGGTCCTGGAAGACAGAAGCTGATCCAGGATGGACAGAAGACGGCGAGACTCCAGTTAAGCTACGGCGGTTGTGGAGTCTGCGGTGGTTGTGGTGTCCGTTGCAGTGCTTGTAGCGTCCATCAACAGAAGGTACTTGGTCGGAGTACGGGAGTTCCGTTACAATTAGTCATCAGGGAATGCCTGTAGTACAGGGCTCGAATCCTGCAGGAACGGTGTTCCTGCACTTTTTCTACAGCATGAACGCCGTTCCCATTACTAGTCCTGCAGGACCCAGGGCTGGCACAAGGGGCCGCCAGAGCAGGGGGGAGCACAAATCCGAAAGCTGGGGACTCGGATTTCTAAACTCACCTCTCTCCCTGCAGCCAGTGGAGTCGACCGGCCTCTCCTGATGATGTCTGGAGGAGGGGGTGTGACTTCCACTGCTCTTCTCCCAGGACCACTGGGAAGTCTGGGAGAAGAGCAGAGGAAGTCACGTCCCATCCTCCTGACATCATCCGGAGAGACTGACTGCTGCTGCTGTATCCTGGCTGCTGCCCACCCCTCCCTGGCCTAAGGTAAGACTCAGGGAGGGGGGAAGGCACTTTAGTTTTTGTTTTTATCCCCCTCCTCAGTCCCTGTCCACCTCCACATGTCTCCATGTCCCTCTCACCGTCTCCTAAGCTCCTGTCCCTCGTCCTCAGCCCTGTCATCTTACTCAGTCCCTGTCCCCCTTCCACAGTCCCTGTCCCCCTTCCTCAGTAACTGTCCCCCTTCCTCAGTCCCTGTCCCCCTCCTCATGTCCCCATGTCCCTATCCCCATCTCCTAAGCTCCTGTCCCTCGTCCTCAGCCCTGTCATCTTACTCAGGCCCTGTCCTTCTCCACAGCCCCTGTCCCTCTACTCAGCCCATGTCCCCTTACTCAGCCCATGTCCCCCTACTCAGCTTCGTGCCCTTACTCAGCCCGGGGTGTGGGGAGGAGGGGGGGGGGTGGATCTAGGGTGAGTTCCCACACTTTTTTACCCAGGACTTGACCCATGCTATAGTATCATAAAAATATGAATTGATAAATACTTTATTATTGTACATCTGCCTGGAAAAACATTTGAATATTACATTCATGCACTGAAAAATTGAGGTGTGATCCCCCCCCCTCCCCCACTGCTAATAATGTCTGTATGGCGCTCTCAATGATATCACAGTTACAGTACAGTATCCTAATACAACAGTCACTAGAGGTTTGCTTTCAATAGATAAGTAAACAGCACCACCAGTAACCGGAATGGTCATAAAGCACACTGCACTCATAACTTCTCTTCACATTGACACTGAGGAGTGAAATTGCATACTGAATTCTTTACTGTGTCAACATTCTAGAGGGTTTATTTACTAAACAGTGAATTGTTGTGAATTTAACTCCACACTGTTGGCTAAAATAGTAAAACTGTAACTATAGGGACATTGGAGATTTTTAAGATCGGCTATTTTGCAAATCATTTTCAAAACACCACAATCCACTGTTTAAGTAAAACCCAGGAAAGGCTGTAAGGAAGAAATGTGTGGGGTACCTGTGGAGTAACAAACACAAAAGTGGAAGCAGATGGGGAGAAAGATAAAGGAGGGGAGA